AGGGTTAAAACCACAGTTTCCTAAACGTCCCTTTTGATACGGAAAAAAATAAACACTGTTTAATTTATTTTTGGTCCAGAAATAGAGACATGATTTGGATGTAGATAAATCTGACGAAAAAGACTCTTTTCCTGGTATTTGGGACCCACAGCGTATCTTTATATGTGCTCACAGTTGGAAGGCGTGCCCACGCATTCCATATCCTTTTCCCCCAAAAAGACAGACAAGAAGTCAATTGAGGTAGAAAATTTCAGTAACCCAACACGGTATATCAGCCCCAGAATGGAATCAGGCCAACATGGAAATCTAAGCCACCACTTTAAGAGAAAACTCAGTGCTGGCACGCCAGGCAGCCTCTCTCCCAGCGCACTTAGCACATCTTTCAACAGGTCGAAGCAGCAGGGACAGGGCTGTACACCTCCCAGCGCCAGCGCCAGCGTGACCAGGGGCCTTGCCAAGACCCGCGCTTCACAAGGCATGTGTCAGGGCACCTCCCCACCAACAGACACAGCAATTCCCAGCGCCTGCAGCTTCCAGAGGCCACCGCCCATGCTCCCCGGTCCAGAAGGCATTCACCTACAGCTCATTATTGCAGACGCACGTTACAAATAAACACAAAGTCACTTTCCTGCTTCCCCTGAGGACAGTCTAAACCCAAAAGTGTTCTCTTGATAATTATTCGCTTTCTTTACTCTTCTATTCTTTACACACAGATAGAAAGAAATTAGCTTTCTCAGTGTCATGTTATGTCAAGAAAAAGCTTGTTTAGAAAGGGAGAAACAGAAACAAAAGGGAAAATAAACAATGGGGTCTGAGACCTTGCTGGTGTTCACGACGGGAAGATGTTAGAGCCTTGTTTCAAAATAGCAGGATACCCCGGTTTTGTGATTTCAACTGAAATAACTTGGCAGTGGCACTTTGGGGACATGTATACACACAATGTGCCAAGCGGTTGGATACATGCTGGCCCTTGGCTGCTCTTAAGGGAACAGAGGTTTTTGGTATATATATATTCATTCACACAGGAGCTAGCTGTGTATTTAAAACCACAATAGATTGAGCTCAGTACTTTGATACATGAGCCACAGTCATCTGAGGCTTCTAGGAATTGAATTTAAATCAAATATTGCATAAATAGTGGCAGAATCTCACTTCAAACCCTTCTTGCATCAAGCTGTATTTTTACAAAGTGAAGTGCAAAGATTTACCACATTTAATCAAGTTCAAAGGACCTCGGGAGAGAGAGAACCTTCAGATGAACAGCTCTATTTACTTCCCTCGGTTTCAATCTAAAACTCTGACCGTGCTCAGGGGGCATTTGTGTTGGTCAGTCACCTGTCTATTTAAAGCACAGCGCTCAGAGCTCGAACGATAAGCTAACCGTACATCTCGGGCCGTCCCGCCGTTTGCCCGGCACCCGTCGGCGCAGCACGTCAGCACCCTCCAAAGTGTACTGGTTTGGAAGATAACAGACGTGGTGACTCTAGAAGACCCACTCAGGGGAACATTGTGAAAACAAAGGGAGAGGAAACCGATCAGATGCAAAGACTCACAGAGCAGAGCGCTGGAGGGATGCCCAGAGCCCGTCCGCCGCAGCAGGTTTACACGGACGGGAAGGAGAGGGAGGAGAGGGAGGAGAGGCCGGAGGTGGCGGTGAGGGGGCGCCCAGCTCTGCGGTGGGGACCCTGCGAACTTCGTTCTACAAGGCTGAGCCGCAGACAGAACAGATTCATGATTAATTTTGACCCAAGTTGCGCTGTGAATTGAGGTCCTGCTGAGCCAGGATGGTGCTAACCTTGGGTGCTCCTCCCGTGGTCCTGCACAGAGACCATTCCAAGACCCCCTGAGAGGGAGGTCCTCGTCAGCTCCGGCCTCTGGGTCTGACCGCACCGCATTCCTGGGCCCTGTTTCCGGGACTCACTGAACCCCCATAAGGTTCCAGGCACATGGACTATTCAGGCGAGGGAGTGAAAATTGCTATGTCCTGGAGAGGCTTGGATGAGAACTGTTACCTAAAGAGACCTGAAACATCTATACGGAGCCTTTTTTAAGCATAGCCTCAGAATGATTTTCTAAATAACACGCCAATGAAACTGACAGATGGGTTTTTAAAGTACCCCTATCCTCACATGCAGACACACTCTTCTAAGTCTTTTTTTAGAAAAAGTTTGTAGTCTTACTTAAAGGAAATAATAATAAACTTAAAAATAATTGAAAGGAGAACTTTCTGAAGGCACAAATAGAGCAGGAAAAAATCAAACGCCTTTCCCAAAATATACTCGCCTTATGTGAGGATGACCAGTTGGCAGGACGTTTCTTGTTTGATGAGAAAGGGAAAGTCAGACAGCTAAGCTGGTGAAGATGGACAGCGTCTCCCTTTCAGCAAAAACGGCTCCAAGTCCAACCCCAGTGCACGGGCGTGTGTGCACATGCACACACACACACACGTGCACGCACACGCACGTGCGCACACCTCCTGGGTGGGGAGTCTACACAAACACAGGAGTCCTTGACGACTCAGAGTGAGTGGAGGCTGTCCGTGGACAAACATGTTTTGCTAACTTTAAAATTAGGAAAAGAACATCTCCACCATCAGCTCCTGCCTTGAGTCACTGAGTGAGCCCAGGAGCATCTACACGTTCCCGTGGAGTTAGAAGTGGAGGCTGAGGGCTCTTTCCCAGGCTGAGCTGGGCGGCAAATGAAAGCTTTCTGGGGACAAGGAGGGACTTTAAAACCCCACATCTCTTTCCCAGGCCTGGAGGGCACCTGGGAGACCTCACGTTCTCAGTCCCAGGGCCGCCCCAGCTCCGGGGGACCACACCCACCACCTCGGGTGTCCTGAAGTCAGAAGGGGCTCCCAGGTTAGGTAGGAGGGTCTGGCTGCCTCTGTTCAACTCCTGTCTCCTGAACCGAGTGTGCGGTAATAAGAAGCCTAACTCCCAGATTGCTTGTGAAGGTCCACACACACATACAAACACACACTCAAACACTCACACACACACTCACACACACAAACACACACATACACATTCACATACATTCACACATACACTCACATACAGTCACACACTCACAAACACATGCACACATATGCTCACACACGTACACACACAGTCTGAACTCCCAAAGGATGAACAAGTCACGGTAGCTACCGAGGGGACAGGGGCTACTGTGACCAACTTACATGAATTGTTAATGGTTGCAAAATCCCCCCGAAGCCGATGTGTGATAAATGGTAGAAAATAAACATCCACCAGAACTAAGCCCCCACAGCCTGCCCTCGGCCCCCCCAGCCCGCCGGGAGGGGGGAACAAAGCGGTGGGCCCCCTTCTGCTTTAAGAAGAGTGAATTCCACCTCCTTCCCGACGGAAAAATTGCTTCGGATTCTTTGCCTAAAAACCACAAATAGAGCTATTCCATTAATTTTTACTTAGCAGGACTTTTTTTTAAACAAGTCTATTTCAAAGCAGAGTGGTCATACGCTTTTCCATTTCATTTGCTTGAGAAAACTAGGACTAAAACTGTGTCCTCTGCCCACGTCCCCCCTTGCCAACCAGCGCTGTGCAGTCTGAGGGGGGCAGCTCCCGCAAAGTCAGTTGGTCTCTGGGACATGCAGCTGCAGACGGACTGTACTTCTTAGAAGCCAATCACATACCATCTAGGGGGGCTTCAGTTCTCGCCTCCAGCCACACCAGTGGCCCAGTTTGTGCAGAAGCAAGCGATGCTGTCAAACGCAGACGCGTGTGGGGTTCTGAAATCGCACCTGTGTTTTCACTCAACCAGCCACCCTCCTCCTCTCCCCACGTCCCTGCCTCCTGGGAGAAAACTCTCCAACAGTATTTGTTACCACGAAGGGATTTGATTCGCAAGCAAATGCCACTGTCCTTAACCATTACACTTACTTTAAGAACCAAACTGAGCTGTTGATGTTGGATGAAATCTAATCGAAATCAGATTTACTTAAAATTCTCAGCAAGACCTCTACTATCGCGGGGAGGCGTTCAGATGAAGTAGCTCCTGACAACGCAGGACCGTTCCCCCGTCACCGTGCAGGGAAATGGGAGGTTGAAAGAACGTGGCATCTGAGACCCACACTAAGTCTTGTAGCAACCGTGCACCTCTGTGTCTCCGGCACCTACTTTCTCAGTCTTTTGAGCTGCATGATAATCACCCCTGGTCTCATTTCACGGCCTGCGATTTGCAGTAATTAAAGATGCGATTTATTTGTCACTCATACCAAATACCACACTTGGTTTCTCCAACAGTTCCTGGGCCCCAAAGGAAAGAGGGCAAACTGACAGCTAAAGCCTGAGCCGCAGTCCAAGCACACGCCCCAGGTGTCCCGGGGGGCTCCAGCCTGCCTCCCCCAACCTGGACACGTGATTCTGGGGGAATTAACAACCTGGGTTTCTTGAAGAGAGAATGACTTCGCGACAGTGCGTCTCAGGATCAGGGCGCTGCGTGGACATGTTTTAGGCCGTGTTGCTGGGAACCTGTTTGGGAACCGGAGGAACGCAGGGCAGGCTCACAGCCCCAGGGAGCCGGCCTGCACCCTCGGCCGCTTGCTGGGAAAAAGCATCCGATCGGTGATCACTGAGGGTTCGCTGCCTTCTGACGACAGACAAAGAGTCCAGGACCCGGTACAGCAGGAATGAGAATCTATTCTGCACCTTAATTATTTTTAAAGTTGACGCGGTATGACTGCTCACCTGGAAAGAATACATGAAAATGTGGCATCATAGGTGAGCTGCAAATGTAGCGCCAACCTGAAACACAGGCATCTCTTTGGGCCCCTGACTAGCCCTCCTCCTCCCACCCCGACCTGCGCTGCCCTGCCTCCCTGGTCTGCGATAATATTCGTTAGAGGGTCGCAGCAAGGCAGTGATGTCCTTAGCAAATGAGCCTCCCCGTGGACTGCACTCCACCGCCCACAGTGGGTGCCGAGCTCCTTAAACCACCCTTGAGGGAAGAAAGGATAAAAGAAAAACTGAGCAGTAAGGTTGTTTATTTTTTTTTTGAAAATAGCAAAATGTGACCCATATAGCAGGAAAAAAATAGGTGGCAGAACAAAATTAAACTAGCTTAAAAAATATGGTCTCTCCCACAAGTCAGGAAAGAAATGATTAGTGTATAAATGATTACACAGACACCAAAAACAGCCCCAAAACTTTAACATATGTTTAAAAATCCCATAAACAAATTAAAAATACCATTTTGTAAAAAATAGTTGCAATGTAGAAAACATACCAAGGCTGAATTTCCTGCCTACACAGATGCTTCTCCCAAGTCATTACAAAGAAAACTTAAAGCCCCTTGTAGAAAAATAGGTAAAGGTAAAAATGTGGGCTGACGGGAAAATACGTGAAGATATTCAACACCACGATCGTTAAGGAAATTTAAGCTGCAGTAAGAGGTAAGTTTCATTTCTCAGATTAAAAAACCCAAGTAGCTTGATAAATGAAATCTTGAGTAAGGGCAGAGATAAACAAACACCCGCATACTTTGGGGGAATTGACCGCCGTCTCCCTGGAGGGCAACTGCCCAGCAGCAATCGACCATGCAAAATGCACGTCCCCTGTGTCTTAGCAATTCCACATCCAAGCCCGCATCCTCTGCGTGAACAAGTACGTGCGTCCACAGTCCACGGGGCTCCTGCAGCGGTCTGTGAAATGGGGGAACAATCCGGAACAGGCCAAGTGCTCATGAATACACGCCTGTTCAATTTATTACAGAATATCCTCCCAACGAACATCATCCAGCCTTTAATAAAGGACGGGCTGCCGAGCGCAAGTTAAGAGATAGGAAACAGAGCAAGAAAGCCAACTGCAGAAGGGACTGCATGGTATAATAGCACCTGGGCGAGAGTTTCTGGAGGGACGCACCGAAAAATGTTCAGAGGGGCTACGGAAAGGGGAAATTTCACTTGTTGCTTTGCGCCACTCAGTGACATCTGAAATGTTGCCCATAAGTGTGCATTCGTTACTTTTATTATATGAAAGTAACTTAAAACTAGAAAACTGTAAACAGTAAGACAGTCCTTGGATACGGACATCCTTTGGTACTCTGAATTTAGAGAAACGAGTTGGCTTGGGAAAGATACAGGGTGAAAGAGTTCATGGAACATGACAAGGTTAGCAGAGCGCCTTGTTAAGCAGGACACTCGGTGCTCTCGACTAGGACAGAAAGCGGCAGCCTGGCGTCCCTCCGGTGCTGCGCTCCAGCACGTGGGCAAGGCCTGCCTCCCGGCTCAGGCCAGAGCGCTCGCCTGCCGCGGGGACCCAGCCTGCTTACTGACGCCGCAGAACCAAGAACTGTCTTACCGCCTTACCTTAAATCTGGCATCGCCTTTCCCTTTTTTAAAAAAAACCTGCATCCTCTTCACACCTCTTTCATTTTGACACAGGCAACCCTCTGACCCAAAGCAAGGTTAGAAGAGAAAGCCGATTCCTCCTCTGGGCGAAGCAGGTCGGCGCCAGTTATGAGACGCCGGCTCCGCGCCCCTGGGTGTGAAGGCCTGCCCCCAAGCTAGCCGCCCCGACGCCGAGCCTCGGGAGGAGCGAGGGGCTTTCGGGCGGCGCCGGTGGGTCTTTGCAGGAACAGCGGAGTGACAGCTCATCCAGACAGTCGCCTTCACTTGCATTTCCTGCTCGGAGCTGGAGCTCACTCCGCAGTCCCCACCACCAGCATCCAAACTTGGACCATTCGTTCATTTCCTTATCTTTTCTCCGTTAGTCGCTTTTTTATTTCTCCTACTCCAATTCCAAAATTGAGCTTGAAGCAAAGTGAATGGAAAGTAAGAAAAACAGCTCCACTTGTGACTCAACTCACCTCTTATAAGAAATCAGTTATAAATTATTTAGGTGATTAAAATTATAAAACGTTACTTTGGAGGGATCATCAGCTATGACTGGCTTGCAAAGTTTTACTGGAGGCTGAAGACCCAGAAAATGTTCAGCGCGGAGCTCATTAAAAGGCCCGCAGTCCTATCCCAGGGGAGAAGCTTTCTCAGGGGGAGGGACTCTGCGGTGGCCCCTTACCCCGCTCCTGCCCCAGGTGGAGAGCCGCCCTCACAAGCTGTATGGCGTGAGAGTGACATTTCCCTAAAAAGCTGCAGATTTCTCACAGCGTAGTTTTAACTATGGGCTTCAGAAGGACTTTTAGACTCATTTTTTTCTCCAGTGACTTGGAAAAAATGAAAATATGTTTTCCTAGTTAGCAGAGGTAACCTAGAAGAACTCAGAGTGTGAAATAAAGCATAAATGCTCTGATATTTGAAATTGTCTTTGCTCAGGAAGACACAGATGAGGCAGGAAAGACCAGGCAGTGTGCCCCCTGTCCAAGAAACAGTCTCGACGAAGCTTAAACGTCTCCAACTCCGGAGGATTCGTAAGGCGCAGCATCTGATGCCCAGGAGATGAGGTGGGGCACAGCCTTGCACAATTCCCTATGGCATGGAAAAAGCGACCTAATGTTTATGATGAGGGAAGACACTTCAACCTACATTAAATCAGCAAGCTTTTCACACCATTAAAAAAAAAACTCATAAAAGCCACGAGCACTTCTGTTACCACTCGGCGACTCGGACGGCAGAGCAGGCTCACTAACCACGTGGGCATTTGTCCCACCCCGACCACCTCGCCCACTGACCTTCTCCTCCCCTTCAGTCCTTCAAGTTTTGATCGTGGTCCGTGGTGATCACTGTCTTGGGAACTGAAATTCTCCTACAGCAGTGGTGCCAGATCTCTCTTTCTCTTTCTCTTCCTGCAGCCTCTCAGGAGCTCTGCCTCTCCAGTGGGGTTGGCTGTTTCTCATCCCTTACCTGTCCATTTCTTCCAGCATCACCTCTTCCCTTCCACAGGTCAGAACCCCTGAAAGAATCTGCAAAGACTTCAGCATCCAGGTTTCACAGAGCCAGCCCTGCGGGGGCCCAGGGCGAAGGTTCAGGACCATGAAAAGTTACTGCCACCCCATGGCAGCCCCTCCCCGACACCCACAACCACCTGCTCCGACCCCTGGGCTTGGAGGCGTGGCCTCACAGACCCCCGACCCGAAACCTTGAGACACTCCCCCAGATCAGGTAAGTTTGGGAAACACTCCGTATCGCATTAGCCATGTCGACACATCAACATTCTGGGAAGTCCTCTGGGAAGAAACCTGTTTACCTTTCACTCAGCTTCTCCCAGAGCCATCTGACTTCGGGGCCCCTCTTTGTCAAAGCACCTGCTGGCACTCCCAGAGCGGACGTTCCTGCACTTTAGGACAATGTTCTACAAGATCCCAGCACAGGGAAGAGAGCCGCTCCCTGCTCCAGACGGCCAGCAGGACGAGAAGCCAGAAGGCAGCAAGAGCGGGCTGTGGGCAAGCCAGCGACTCGGGCGGCCTCCGTGCGGACAGAACGTCTCAGGTGTCGGGCCTGTGGGTTGGCTTTCGGTCTTTTATAAGGACACTAATCCCAGCCGTGGGGGCTCCACCTTCATGACCCAATCACCCCGCAAAGGCCCCCGCATCTCCCCATGTCGTCACCCCGGGGGTTAGTGAATCTGGTTGGGGGGGACAAGCACACGGACACTCAGACCCGAGCAGCTGGGGATGAGGGGCTCAGGGAGGACAGCGGCCCTGAGGAGCTCCTCCTGGGAGGCCTGTTCATTTGAAGACGCCAGTCAGGGGTCCCCGAGGACGAGATGTTGGAAAGCCTGGGTCTTACCCCACAGCAGAGGGCTCGGGGCTCTGGATTTCCTGCGGGAGGCGGGGCGGACAGTGGCAAGTGGGTACCGGGCGGAGGAAGGAAATGAACTTCACCTGCTCAGTGTGTTGGCTACGTGCATACTTGCCCAGAAACAGGAGAGAGGGTCTCCTCACGCACTCTCTCTCCTCCTGCGTGGAGCCCCCTCTCGCCTAGCACTCACACTGGGATCCTTCAAATACACATCACAAAGGCAGCCGAGGGACCAGGTCGTCTTTTACGACTCTGTCTGGGGAAATCTGCTCCAAGTTCCAGCTCACAGACCTGAACACGAGCCGTGGGACGTAACCCTCTGGTAAGTTCCAGCTGTCCGGATCCGACCGCCGCGAAGGAACAACCTGGTCTGGCTCTCTGCGGACCGTGATGGGAGCGATAGTGTTCAAGTCAGACCGAAACGAGAAAGACTACACTGAAGACCTCAGAGAAAAAAAGAATCTCTTTTCAAGAAGCAGCAAGCATACGTGCAGTGGTAAGTGTACTTCCCGCTCATCCCACGGGAAAAAAGATGGAGACTAAGAACTGGGCTCCGAGGTCCCCAGAAAGACTAACTATAAAGACTTGAAGCTGTTGGACTGGAAGCTCCGGGTCAAAGCCCAGCGCCTCCGGACGGGACCGTGTGCTTGCCAGCAGAACACGGTGTCATCAGCCCATTTTCAGCTCAGGAGCCAGGATACTCTCATTGTCACATGATCCGCCCGGGACACAGGTGGCCCGAAGTTAGGGCAGGTTTTGTTCTCCTCTCCTTGGGAGCAGAATGCTGGGTTTGCTTGAGAAAAACAAGAACCCCTTCTCTTTAGCATTGATTTCGCTTCTGCTTCCTTCTCTGAGACCGTATTTTGTGTTGTACATAGGCAGCTGCATGCAATTCCGCAGGGCCTTCCAAGCTTAAAACACACACAATCCCTTCACATACGTATTCAAACACAAACTTAAAGGACACAAACGTCACCACAGTCGGTGTTTAAAAAGCCCTTCAGTACTTTTCTGTTGCTGCTGTAACGAACCACACACACGGTCGTTTGTTAGACAGTACGAACTGATGAGGTGACAGTTCTGGGGATCAGAAGGTCAAGGTGGGTCTTGCACAGCTGACATCAAGGCGGGAGGCTCTAGAGGAGAACCTGGCCTTGTCCAGTTTCTAGAAGCCACCGCCTCCTTGGTCCCTGTCCTCTTTCTCCGTTTGTAATAGCCACCTCCTCCTCACCCTGCCGTCTCTCTGGCTCTGTGCGGGTGGGAAAGGGGCTCAGTTTGTAAGGAGTCCTGTGATCACACTGAGTCCACCCAGATAATCCAGAACGGTCTCCCACCTCAGATCCTTGACCTCAACCACACCTGCAGAATCTCTCTGCCACGCAGGGTAACACGCGTTCCCAGGATTAGGGTGGGGGCCATTATCTTGCCTACCGCCTCCAACTTACAATTTCCAATAGTGAAAGTAGTGAGGAGAGGCGGGGCCACGCTCAGCTGGAACACTGGTTTCAAATGCTGAGATGGAACGGACGGCACTGGGGACTAAACTGAAAGACCAGGGCTTCAGAGACCCAAAGAAGCAAAGGTGTGGATCTCGGAGTGTGAGCCATGTGTCGGAACAGCTGCTCACCAGCCATCCCTGTTGGCCGACTGAGACTTACGGAAACTTTAGGAAGAAATAAGAGACAGTGATTTAAAAAAAAAAAACAGAAACAGACTTACACAGACATAGAAAACAAACTTATTGTTGCCAGGGAGGAAAGGGGGTGGGAAGGGACAAACTGGGAGTTCGGGATTTGCAGATGCACACCACTATATATAAAATAGATAGACAACAAGGTCCTGCTGCACAGCACAGGGAACTCTATTCAATACCTTGAAATATAGCCTATGAAGAAAAGGAATATGAGAAGGAATATGTGCAGGCACATGTATGACTGAAACATGATGCCGTGCACCAGAAACTGACACAGCATTGTAAATGGACCAGACTTCAATAAAAAAAATTTTTTAAACCCCGTAGTCCCTTTTCCCCTGATTGCCCATAAGGCTTCTGTGGTAGAATTTCAGTTGAAACCTCCAGAAAAATTAGACTCCAAATAGGCTAGAGCAGCCACCTCTAAATGGGATCTGAGGACACTTTGTCCCCCCCGTTCCGTTTCCCATCTCCATTCCCCATGCTCGATGCAGATCCCCGCAGAGCCCAGCCCTGGCCCTTCTCACCACACCAAGGACAATGCACCAAGCGACCACGCCATCCACGCCCCAGGCTGGCGGAGGAATCAGCAAAACATGGGTCCAGCCAAGTCTCTGCTGAGGGTGTTTAGTGTCTTCTCTTTTATTTTTCTAAATCTGGTCAGTGACTAACTGCATCTTTACGGTTTAATTGCGCACATCCTAAAGAATATTTTTCTTTTGAAAATTTCCTGTGTAAAAAAGGTGCAGATTCGATTTTTAGAAATTTCTCCTTTCATATTTTTGTTACACAAGTAAAACATGTTAACGGGGGTAGAAAGTAATCATTTAAAGCGTAGAGATGAGCACAGAGGGAAAAAGGGAATAAAAAATTAAACCCCACCACTTAGAGAGAAGCAGTGTTCCCACCGTGTGTGTGTGTGTGTGTAACACAGTCAGCCACACGCGTGCACGTGTATAAAGGTATTTGTGACTCTTCTTTGGATCTGTTCTTGTATTTTTATACATTGGTCCCAAAAATGCTTAAGCAAGCTGGGAAGGAGGAGTGGCCCCCATCCTGCTCCTGGTGGAGAGAGCTTTAAACGCTGTCTCATGGAGGGGGCGGTCGGGATACCTGCCTGACCTTGGGGAAGGGTGGGACCCCACCGCCCAGCCCAGCCCCACAGCTGCCTGCGTGGGGCTGGACAGTGTATGTAGATGTGTATGTTCCAATCATTCGAGATCTTATTTTTGTTTGAGTTTTTTAATAAGAAAACAGTAGCGCACGTGCACGCACACACGGCACTAAGGACTCTGCCATGTGGATGCGTCCCCAGAATGCCCACCGTCCCCTGTGTGGGGAGCCTGGGTCTCGGGGGTTATAACCCAGCACGTCAGGACCCAGTGTGCCTGGCACAGGCCTGGCACCCTCCTGGCCTCGCCACACACCCTCCACCTCTGAGGAAGAGCCAGGAACCTTCCTAGAATCTCCTTCCCCACTTGGTCCCAGGCTGGTTGGCCAAAGTGATGCTCTGAGCTGGGGGACAGAGGCCTCCAGCTCTCGGGCGTGGCAGGCAGACGCGCGGGCTGCTCGTGGCTGTGACCCAGCACCGCCTTGTTCGAGGACCCCCCCGCCACGTGCCCCTTTCCATAGGCGCGCCCTGCTGATCCTGGCTACAACTAAAGCGCATCCAGCACACAAATGGGGCGGAGTGGGGAGTGACAGGGCAGGGGATGGAGGCAGGGGAGGAGGAGGTCACGCCACGCTCCGTCTGGCTCTCCAGACGTGACTCAAATCGAAGGGGAGAGCCCTGCTGAATAGAAGGAAAAACTGTGCGCATGCCGTCCCCCAAGTCCACCAGCCACCAGTGCCAGAGCAGGGATGCACACACCATGCTCCCTCCCCCAGGCTCCCCAGGAGCCTGCGCCACGGGAAAGACTGAAGGGCATCACAGGCCAGAGGTGGGACAGGAGGCTGCAGTCTCGGGGTGGATTGTGGGGGGACAGGAAAAGCCATCTGCCAAAAGGAACGCAGAGGAAGAGCCAGAGCTTGCAAAGGAGGCATCGTGCGGCGCTCCCAAAAGACAACGCAGGAGCAACGGGAACCGGCAGCCAGGACTGGGGGTCTCTGACACAAACACTCCAAAGCCACGTAAGGGAGAGCCGGCCAGGAAGGTCTAAGGTCCTGAGCTGACCCTCTCTGGTAGGAGGGACTCCAACGCCTGGGACCGAGAACTCGGCATGGCCTGTGTCAGCACACGGAGGCTCAGGAGGTGCACTGAGCCCAAGGCTGCACTGAGGTGCACGGTTCCCTGACCGGGACCCCCAGCGGTGCCGGCCGTGTGCCTGCGTTCTTTCTCTCCTCAGTGCTGTGGCTGTAATAATTTGGGTCTTTTACTTGTCGTTTATCACCCAAACCCACACCTCAGCACTTACCACCTCCTCGTTCTGGGACGTTTCCCCTGAGGCTTCCCCCAGAGGCTATGCGGCTGCGGGAGGTTGTGTGAATGGGTGGCACCTGTCTTCCAGGGGCTGGAGCAGGTACTGGCAGGAACCTGGTCTCTCTGACTGCAGAGAGGCAACCTGATTTTAAAAGTCCCTGCTGCCCGTATCTCAGAAGACGCAGGACGGGTGATGCTCCTTTCCGTACCACGTTGACTAGGTCAGCGTCAGTGTCCATCTGCGCCTCTGTGCCGCCGTGCTTTGCCTCTGGCTGTCTCTCTGTCTGTGCTTCTGTCTGCCTTCGTTTCTCTGGTTGCAGACTTCTCCTTTCCTCTGGTCTGACTGCATTATGCAACTTCGGTATATTTTTATTAATTTTAGTGTGTCTTTGTTCCCTGTTCTTAATTTAAATTTGTGATGACTGGAACACTTAATTTGCTTCCTAAAGGGCAAGCAAAAGGAAGTAGCTTTATATTAACAGCTCTGATTGATGCTTCCTGCAGTGCACTCGGTAGACAGGAAGCTTCCCTGTCCCTGACACGTGGCCCGGGGCAGAGCGACCTGCCGGTTGTCACTGCCATCTCTGCCCCTCCATCCAGAAGGAGCCTCTGCTGAGGGGAGCCGGTCACAGTGCACCAGACAGCGGATGAACGAGCCAAAGCGCCCTCAGCGAGGGGCATCTTCCTGGGCACTCGCTGGGAGGCTTCGTTTCCAGCCCACCATGTTTGATAAACCACAGCTCAGGGCCCCCTGCTTCCCTGAAAAGTCCCAACCCCAGAACGGTTGGGGAGGGGGAGTCTCCCGCAGGGAGAAGTTTCCAGGGCCGGATGCCAGGGTTCGGAGCTGCGGTGACATCCGGCCCCTGTGTCCCGTCCACACCTGGTCTCCTCTCCTCTTGGCCACGTACAGTCACCGCAGAGACCACTCATTCCCAACGTCTGTCTTACCGTGAGAACACTCAGGCGCCGTGGAAATGCAAGAATTCAGCCGTGGGTACGCACAGACACACCACTGAGGCTCTCACCTTTTCCCGGCCTGCACACGTCTAACCATCTCTCTGTAGGATCATCGATCCACTTTGTTTCTTATGTATTTCGTCACACCTCAGCCCCGAAGGCTGTACTGTGGGCATTGCCAACCAGAACGCAATGTACTTCAGGGTTCTCTTTCTCAAACCCTGCCTTTTAAACTCAGCAAAGTGTGAGTTGCTTTTTCTCTTTAGACCCCCACAGAAGAACTGGGGGTGCTCCCGGGAGGAGCAAACCCAGGCTGGAAACATCCGTCCCTGTAGGTGGGTTCCTATACGACCTCCAGGTGCACCAACTGGAGCTGGGACCAAATCAGACACGTGGGGTTCGCCCTCATTGCTGTGCAGGAGAAGAAGGCGGCGGGTTCAGACCAGAGAGCCCGGGGCGTCAGGGCAGGGCGCGGGAGCAGCTCAGGGCAGAGGCGGGGGCTCGGGCCACGCGCCCCGCGTGCAGCGCCTTCTCCAACGCTTCCTTCCACGGCGGGTGCTCTCTCTCCGTCTCTCTCTCTCTCTTCCCCGTCCCTCTCTCTGTGTCTCTGTCTCTCTCTCTGTCCCTCTCTCGGTGTCTCTCTGTCTCTCCCATCCTCTGTCTCTCTTTAACATGGTTTCATTAACTAGAATTCAGTGTCTAGTTAGGGTTAGGGCCCATGCTCTCGCACCTCCCTTAAGAAGGACTGTGCAATCATCATCGTCGTTGTCACTAGCAGCCATGGAAACTCGCCACAATGCCCCCGGTCACTGCAACGGAGGCTGAGCTGAGCTGCACCCCTTCGGTCCCGCACACAGGTCATGGGACAGCCATGTGCTCTTGCCCCTGACTTGCCACCTTCCCACCAGAGCAGAGAGAGAAGGGGTTTGGGCTGTGATTTGGATGGATCCCCTCCCGCCCAGAAGCTTCTCTTCTCTGGGCCTTCAGGCTCCCCTGCGGGGGGTGGCGGAGCTGCCCTGGGGGGCCTTGCTGGCTCAGCACACCAGCAGGTAAAGGGCGGCCTTAACAGCCCGTCGCTGCAGGAGCCCCCATCCCAGGGAGCCCGGACCTCCAGGCCCCCGGGCGAGGGGGCCGCGCGCGGCTGCCTGCGTCAGAGCCGCTTCTGCAAGCTGCAGGGTCCAGCACTGGTCGCGGAAGGCCTTCACACCTCTCTCCCCCTCGCCTCCCATCAACCCGTCTCTCTCTCTCTCCATCTGCTTAATTTCTCACGTCCCTTTCTTCATACCACGTTTTAAAACTGACTTTCCCTTTATCTAGCAACCGAGCATCACTCTCAGCCAAGGACCATGAGCCCTGCGACCGTGCTGAGCCGCTGACTCATAACGACCTCAGCACGATTAACTTATCTGGGGAAATTCATTTTGCCTGATCCTGAGAGCTCCCAACCAGCCCAACAGACGGCCCTCGAAGATGACTAAGGGTTTCTGAGGGGAAATCAGACCACGAGACTCAACTATTTAGTCTGGAAATAAAGGTTATGAGGCTGCGTAGTATCTCCAAGCATCACGCAACGCTCCCTCTCGGTTTCCATGGTTTCCACGGAAGACGGAAGGGAGGAAACGAGCGTAGGGGCCCCGGCAGCTGGGACGCAGTCCCGACGCCGGAAGCGGA